TTGTTCACTTCTCTGGGCTGTGTAGTCCCTTCTCTGTAGACATTTTCAGAGTCTAGCATCATGGCTTCTCTCTAGGGGTGTTCACAATCAGAGTTTAGTCGCTTCTCTGGAGACATTTTCAGAGTCTAGCTGTTCACTTCTCTGGGCTTGGTAGTCGCTTCTCTGAAGACATTTTCAGAGTCTAGCATCATGGCTTCTCTAGGGGTGTTCACAATCAGAGTTTTAATCGCTTCTCTGAAGACATTTTCAGAGTCCAGCATCATGGCTTCTCTAGGAGTGTTCACAACCAGAGTCTAGTCGCTTCTCTGGAGTGGAGACATTTTCAGAGTCTAGCTGTTGGAGGGAGTAGCCCCGGATGCGCAACTTTGTTACACATTGTCAGAAGGCTTTGCATCTCAAATTTAACACCATTAAATTGTACCAGGCTGGTATCAGGTTTCATTACATTAAAAAGAAATTGGGTGACCCTACTGCCAACACCCTTAGACTGTCGTACATTTTGCGTGCTATCAAGAAGACGCAAGTGAATACTGCTTTTTAAACGTCTTCCTATAACATGTACATTAGTAACTAAATGTGGATGCTATTACACAGCATGGTATGTTTAACCCTTTTTTTTTTTTAGATCTCATGTTATCATGTATTTTAAAGCAGCTTTTTATGGTTTTTAGAATGTGGCAAGTTTTCATGTAATCAATATGTGATACCAATTTCATTCGTATTTGCGATATTTGTGTTTAACCAGATTTGTCCTGCTATACTCTCACCTTGAGGTCGTCTTAAGACAGACCCATGTAGGCCATTCGGCAGAGGAGTAGATATTAATATTTATGAAAAGAGTGTCTTAAAACCTGTGTTTACTATATGAGTAAATACTTGAATCTCAGGTTATCGTAAGGTGCTGTTCCTCCAGCTCCTTTGATTGTAGACTAGGTTCACCTTGCTAGACCTCTTATGCGTCATACGTTTATATCATGTTTATAGGTGACATTGTCTCGGATTGGCATTGATAATCAGCCCTTTAATAGTCATTCTTTTCGTATCGGAGCCAGTACCTCAGCCGCAGCAGCTGGGGTGGAAGATCACGTTATACAGACCCTTAGTAGGTGGTCATCTGATTGTTTCATACGTTACATTCGCATAGATCCTGCTACCATCTGCCGAGCTCAGCAGAAGATGTCCTCCCGATCTTAGAACAGCATGGTTGGGTTTTCTTTTTTCTTTTTCGGCCTGGGACAGATATTTATGATTTCCAGTTTTTATTGGGTTTTGGATAAAAAAAAAAAATGTACTTAGGGTATTGACTACCAACTGTTTCAGTTGTTTTTAAGATCCTTTATAAATTCTATTATTATTTATTGGGGGCTCTCACTCTATGTTGAAACATATAGTTCAATTTTGGCATTTAATTCTTGGGGAATTCTACCCCCAATCTTATAATAATATTATACATGTAGTATTTTACGACAGTATGTTTCAGCTTCTCTCATATCGTTGAGGGTCTAGCTAACATATTCAGCTTCTCTCATATCGTTGAGGGTCTAGCCGTAGTCGTTGAATATTCCATTTCTCATGCAGCTTCTCCAGGGTCGCTCGCAGAGTCTAGTAGCTTCTCTGGAATCGTCCAGGGTCTAGTTGCTTCTCTGTATCTTTGGAGTCTTGCTCGATCATGTAGCTAGCTACTCTGGGACACCTCAGAGTCCAGATTCTTTAAATTTTAAATATCCTATTAGTAAGTTTAATCGTTTTGGTATAGAGTGAGTAGCCCCTGATACGCCAAACTTGTAGCTTGTATGTATTATAACTGTAGTAATAAACAGGTTAAACTGTTCTTGCGTGTTTAGTTGTATATAAACATTGCTGGTTTCGTTTCATTAACCCAACCGTCACAAGGCCTCGCCAAATACGTTTGGTAAAATCCCCAGCCAAAAATGCAAAGGGTGTATGGAACAGAGTTCCTTGTATAATATTTAGGATAAACTCGATTAACTGTATGAATTGAACGGTATTTACCACTCAAATTACATTTTATCGCTTTATGTTTAAACGCCACGACAGTTCGTACAGTAAAACATTAAAACAACGTGCATTCATGCTTTCACCGTAAATAGTATTGATTTAGCATCGAATTCAATAGATTCACTGATGCATAACTGTATTTGTGGTGGTCGTCGATGTAACGTTAGTGACAAAATACACTCTTGTGCGCATGGCTAAACACAATGGTACACTGTATACATGAGGCGAATTTATCATTTCACCGAAAACAGACAACATAATATGCCTAGTAATTTAATGTCAGGGTAGAGGATGGGTGGGGTTAGAACGGGTGAAAGTTGATTTTAACGGTGAAGGCCGAAAGTTTGACTGAGCGAAAGTATCCCTGTATACAGTATTTCACGAGTAGGGCAGAATACCTATATTTTTTACCAGTGCGAAATTAATCACTTGATTATATCTTACAGGTTTATATGAAGAAAACCACGGCATTATAGCAAACGCCATGTATGACCCAGAATTCAAGGATGAGTTTTCCATAGGGTCGTTTCCAGGCTCAAAATGGTGGGACCAAGGGGAACCGATCTGGATAACAGCGAGGAAACATGGTTTGACGTCTGGAACAATACACTGGCCAGGGGGGTACATCGACATACAAGGAATTCGGGCAAATAAAATCCACAAGTACAATCAATCGGTTCCATTTGAGCATCGAGTGGAACTTGCCATTGGCATGCTTGCAAAAGACAAATTTAACATCGTTTCGTTGTATTTTCACGAACCAGACAATACGGGACATATTTTTGGCCCTGAATCAGCAGAACTAGTCAAAATGGTGGAAGAAATGGACACAGTTTTAGGTAAACTCCTAGATAAGTTAAAAGAGCATAGACTTACGGATTCGGTGAATTTGATTGTCGCAAGTGACCATGGAATGGCAACGACAAATCATGATAATAAGCTGATTAATATTTATGATCTAGTAGATCTGACTATGATTAAGTCAACATTGGAAACCGGTGCTATCATGCAAGTGGTACCTGAAGATGGACAAGTGGATTCTGTCATCAGGGCCATCAACAGAAACCCAAACTTAAAGGCCTACAAGAGAGACGACCTACCGGAATTGTGGCGGGTTAAGAACAATCGAAGGGTTATGCCAGTGTTTGTGATAGCCAACGAAGGATGGACAATCACAAATGTAAGATGAATATAATTAACAGACTTCGCTTGAGATTATTTTCTCATGCGATCTCTTGTCTTTTATCAAACTTCTTAATTTCAATGTTAAATTTGAAAATCGCTGTCGTCGTCGTCATCAGCATTAAACTATATATATGTTCACTGTACTGGAATTAATATCGCATTAGAATACTGAGGGATAAAAGGGGTCTTTGCGGCCTCGAAGAAGCACCATACCCCAATGAGCAGGGTGACATTACAGACGCGCGCGAAACACTTAGATGCATTCACACGGGAAGAGTTCTTGAACTGGCTTGCACTTAACGTGAATATTTAAGGTCGAAGCTAGCAGGGTAAACACGAAGATTTAAGTCGGGATTGACGTTCAATGCATATACAGAAATGTATTTACATTCAAAAATTTAGAGTTTTTAAAATGATCAATGCGGTGTCCCCTCTTTGAGGACGTGTACATTGTAATTACAATGATTTTACCTAAATACATGATGGGTGTTATCAATGAAGCAGTAAGCGATTACCCTTCCAAAATATATTTTCTTATTTAAAATTTTCCGTATCCGTATAAATATTTCTTTCGTCCATATTTTGCCCTAGTTTCGTCGATTACGTAAAAAACTGTCGGTCTGTTGTCTTTTCAAAAGGATACAATCTTGCAAACTATAGACTGTAATTAATCAGCTGATAAGACGGAACAATAGGCATCAGAGCGCCTGTATCGCTCACCTGAATAATAAGTTTAAAGAACTTGATATGAAGCAAAGATATAGTATTCGATCCATGGTAGGTACTGTATGTACATATGAAATTTTAGAAAGATCCATGCAGAATTTCTCGAGATATAGCGAGAACAAACTTCAAATGTCAAAATCCAAAATGGCGGCCTAGTTTATACAAAATTGAGTCTCCTTGGCCTAAGGTTGTTCCAGACCAAATTGAGACGAAATCCCTCAATCCCTATGGTAGAAGAAGAATTTTAAAGGTTTACCTGTATTTCCCCTATTTGGCCCCACCTCTCTGCTCCCAGGGTGGCCACACCCACCGTTTATACAAAGTTGAGTGCCCTTGGCCCAAGGGTGATTTAGTCCAAATTAGGATAAAATTCATTTATCCCTACCTTAGAAGAAAGCTTTTAAAAGGTTTACCTTTATTTCCCCTATTCGGCCCAACATTTCCCGGCCCCCAGGAGGGCCGTACCAACCGTTTATACAGATTTGAGTAGCATAGGACCAAGGATGCTTGAGACTAAATACATGTTAGTATAAAATCCGTTAATCCCAATGGTAGAAGAAGGATTTCAAAGGTTTTACCTCTATTTCTCTTATTGGACCCCGCTCCTCTGTCTCCAGGAAGGTACACCATCCGTTTATACAAAAGTGGATGCCCTTGGCCCAAGGATGCTTCAGACTAAAATAGGATAAAATCCCTTTATCTCTACACTAGGAGAAGGATTTTTATAGGTTTACCTCTATTTCCCGTATTGGACCCCCTCTGCTCCTATGGGGGGGGGGGCGTAAAGGATGTTGCAGACAAAATTCGGACGAAATCCCTTTGGTAGAAGAAGAATTTTAAAGGTTTACCTCTGTTTCCCCTATTGGGCCCCGCTTCTCTACCCCCAGGGTGGGCCACACCATCCGTTATACAAAATTGAGTGCCCTTGGCCCAAGGATGCTCCAGTTTAAATTTGGTTAAAATCCACTAAGCCGTTTAGGACAAGTAGCGTTTTAAAGGAAAAGTTGACGGTCGGACGACGGACGCTGTGCCATGGCATAAGGGCAGGTGAGCTTAAAAAACTAAGTGATTATGTTTGCAAGATAGTATCATTCTTTTCAGATCTTTATTTCAGTATTTTGAAAATATACCTGAAGCGAAATTGTTGTCTACATGCCGTTTTGTTTTTCAGCATGACCTTTTATGTAATAACCAAATATATGGTATTTTGATTTATGTGAATAGGACACACAATTGACCAGACAAAATCCAAGACCGGGAGACCACGGATACGACAGCAGCCTAATGACAATGAAGCCAATATTCTACGCCATGGGTCCTAACTTCCGGTCAGGAGTTTCCGTAACGCCCTTCAAAATAATAGACATCTATCCTATGATATGTGAACTACTTGGTATACCGCCTTCGCCTAACAACGGTACACTCAACAATACGGCCAGTTTCTTACGGCCATGCCAGGACAGTCAGCGTATGTGCAATTGGTTAAACTTTGAGGGATCAAATAATTCGCCTTGACGTAATGTATTGTCATATCTAGGTTTCTATGGAGATGACACCAAAAGTAGTGTTTCAAGTTTTCTAATAAATGTCAGTATAATTGAATTTTGCATAATGCAAGCATGATTCATTATTTAGACTAATACGTTTAATAACCACAAAATCTGGTATAATTAATAGAATTTCTTACTCGTCGAATAAAGACAATACAAAAATGAATATTCCTTATTGCTTAAACAATGAACGAACAATTAAATTTGCATATGAAAACTGTTTCTCATGTTTACATATTTCTGAGCAGGGTGGCCTGTTCAAACGGCAATCAATGTCATTTGAACTTTCAATTGCGAGTATTTATTTTTCTTTCTAATCAATTGTAAAGTTTAACATGCATCATGTATTTTACTTTTACAGCCAGAAAAAAATCTTCTCAAGACCCAGATATGGTAGAATCAAATACTCTTCATAGATAGAAGGGTCTGAAGGTGCTTTACCAAAATTGTGAATTTCATGACCCTTGGGTCTCACGTTTCCCCCTTGGAGGGGGGGGGGTAAACTTTACTATAGTTTATATAGGGAAATTGCCATTGGAGGTAATTCAATTTAGGTTAGCATTATCAGTATTGGGTAGCAGTTTGATGGTATGCACATATGAGCCCTGACTGACCCCCCGGGGCTGATGGGTGGGGCCAAAAAGAGTCGAATTGACTGAAATTTCAAAAATCTTCTTCTCAAGACCGAGATATGGTAGAATCAAACACTCTTCATAGATGGAAGGGTCTTAAGGTTTATGACCCTAGGGTCTCACGTTAACCCCCTGGAGAAGGAGGGGGGGGGGGTATTATGGTTTATAATGGCAAATGATACTTTGAATATCACATGTTAATAACTTGATTGGAATTTTAACCCTGAGTTGACAGTTTGATATTTGAAAATTTTGATCCAGCCCTACCCCCAAGGGCTGTAGGGTGGGACCCAAATGAGTCAGTGTGCTAAAATTTCTTCATTTTCCTTGTTTAGAATCAGAGGTGCTAGTTTCAAATACCTTTTAGTCTTCAATCTGTATGCTAGATATTGAATAAGGTGGTTTCATTGTTTTTTGTCACTTTGAATAATCAACTCTCTGTATAAATATATCAGGTGACCGTTAAGGCCCATGGGCCTCTTGTTAGTTTGTACTAATTACCCTCGGGGACGGTGTAGAGTCTCCTTTTGCTACAAAGCAACCAGTAAATGTATAAGTAAAGACATGTATACAATTTAAAACATTTATTATGACATATTATAACTAATATCAGATATTGATTGTACAGACATAAAAAACTGTTCTGCATAGACATTACAAAAACAAACCTGACATGGAAAAAAAGTCAACATTAGAAAAAATATCAAAAGATTTAAATGAAGCTACAACTTATATCTTTTAAAATTAAACAAAGGAGCTCTTTTATTTGAAGGTAGGATTCACAAACTGCATTATAATCGTCGAAACGGTCCGGAAACTCTCACCCGCGTATTGCCTTAACACAAATAGTTTAAAAAATATTTGAAACACAAACAAACCCAGATGTCTTTAGTCTATAATGAAAAGAAGAAAAAAATGATAGGTGTACAACCTTTCAATAATGGAAATATCATAATCTTGGAATGAATCTGTTGAGTTTTTGAAAAAAACATTGAACATATATTCATCACATATTGATTGTAAATAGACATATAAAAACTGTTTTACGAAAACACAACCTGATCAAAGTTAAAATCATTGACACTATATATATTCATAGACATATATCAAAAAGAGAATGAGACAGGAAGAAAAAAAGAAGACTTTTTTTGTATGCTACGTGAATAAACTTTTATGAGACTTCAAACTATAAAAATGGAATGGCTTTTTTATTTATCACAAGAACAGTTTTTACACGAAACATTAACTCCTGTAAAAAATATTTTGTTTGAACCTTATGAATGTACTTATTTTTTTTGTTTCACATTTAAATTATCTTTTAAATATATAGCCAACAACAGGCATTGATAGTTGTGAAAAAAATGAAGGTATTGACAAAAATAATTTACCAGCAGCAAAGGAAATGTAAGACATTAAGTAACTTAAAAGATGTATTTATGAATCTTAATATTAAAAAACCAAGTTGAGAAATATTTTACCGGTATTTAACTATGAAATTACAGATTTGAATTGGTCTAACTTTAATCTGTCGAATAATATCAAGACTGTTGGAGATAGTACAGATTTATACATTTAAAAGAAATATCGCTGGAGGTTGTACGCAGATCTGTTGAGTAATATCAAAGCTTCAAAAAAGTATACACGAAGAGGTTATAAGCTTGACTAGCTAAATTGTAAACAAAACTGTAAGATACCACATTTTTTATATGTAAAAAGACTTCTATTGAAATAAAATGTTAAGTAAAAGAAAGGCAAAGTATTTCAATAATGCATAGACCCTCAAAATTAGTCTTCACAAACTTGAAAATGGAATGTATTTGTTAAATGAAACTGTCTAGTATTTGTAAATATAAAACAGTCGAAGATATGAAAATGATTTTTTTGTATCGCACTTTGAAAATAAGTTTTTTTTAACATTCATATGTGTATTAATGTATACTTAACCGTAGTCAGGTTGAAGAGTACCTTTTTCAGAATATCTCGACAACCTTTACTGAAAATATAAAAACCCTTATCTTTACACACTCTCGCACAGAACAGTTCACATCTGGCACAGAGGGTTATAAAGTGTAAAATAACAAATGAACCTTAGTGTACAACAGGACTATGTCATCACCTGTCACCACCGTACCAACCTCACATCATCACCACAACCACTACCATATGCTGCTATGATGCCTCAACATCAACAGCAGATGGTCTATTGGGACGAGGCAGAATTTTCATAAAATAATAATCGAAACCCGTTTTTTATTGATATATATATCATACATGTACAGTATTATAGTCTTCTATCAAGTTAATATCTTGTCTCAGTCGAGTCATATTTGTTCTAAGTGACAAATATCTTTACTATTTGTATTGTTAATGTTTCTTTCACAAACACTAATTGATTTTTAAATCAAGAACAAAGATTAATTCAACATCAATTCAAGATGCATAGTTTTTTTAAAGGGACATCACGTGAAGAGCCATATCTTTTTAATGAATGAATGTATGTATTGTATGCACTTCCACTTATGTTACATGGCTATTCCCATATTCATAGTCCGTTCCAAATGTCCAGTTTGACCACTTGAACTGTTCGGGAAAGCCCTATTAAAAATAAACACTTTTCTTTCGCTTACTTCACACGGCCAGTCATTTTGTTTACAAAGAAATGTTGTGCTATTTATGCACATGCGCTAGTAGAGGGAAATCCCTGAACAAAACGTTGGTCAAACACGTAGAAAATCCGATGATTTTCTTAGATTTAATCATTTTTATGAATCTATTTCAGCCAAATCCGATCGTTCTTTTCCATAAGGAGTCTCACTTGATATGTTTATGTAGTATTTGAAAAAAAGACAAAAAATAAAGTTACTTCACCGTGATGCCCCTTTAATTCAACAAAACCAATTATTTTTTAATATCAAATTATTTAACAATCAATATGTACAAATCATAGATAATTGAAAAGACATGTATTTCTATTTCATTCACAGTTTTTGATACAATAAAATCATAAACGGGTTACAGATGACAACGTGTTTACATTTTTATTTTATAGTGGCCAAGGGCAAGCGTATCACAACCATTAAGAAGTACGTAGCGCTTATCATCAAAAGGTTATAGCCCCGAATTTTTTATTGTATATAGATGTAACTGATGTTTATCTGATCTAATTGAATTCATTGCACACATCTTGTTCGTCTTATCGAACACACATTCCATGTACATGTCGTGTCGCAAGTCTTTTTCAATGGTTGCTTTAGCGACACCTTTAGCCACTTGTTTCTCTTTTGATGTTGTTGTGATTACAGAACAACTCTCGACAACAGACCTTTCTTGCAAACAAATAACATAAGAATACAACTTTGGACGAAGATCGACAAACTCTGAAATGGGATGTGATGACGTTTCGTCTTTATAGTATCGCGGGATTTTTTGTTTGATGAGTCGTGACAATGGTGAGATGGTGGATAATCAGACAAATCATACACATGTCTGTCCTGGTGAAGATCGGAGTATAGATCGAGGGTTTCAATTTCGATACCGAACGAATCGGTGTCTGTAAATAATAACTTCATTCCGTCATGATATTTCGGCCTGAGATATTTATAATGAAATTCATACATAACTATTTTCGAGAGCTTTAGAATGGCTTGTCCAGCATATACCGGTTTGTTCAGTAATAATTTGTTTTTTTTTGCATTCTCAATACCCACCAAATTCTCGCTAAAGATTTTAAAACGTTCAAAAGACGGTTTTGCACAAGATCTTTCTTTTTTTTCTCTCAGTATGAGCTAACTTTATGTCTACTCGATTCCTAACATTCTCCATTGTTTTACCGAACACGGCTTGTTCATGAGCTTAAAAAAGTGTTTCTCAGGGGCCTGAGGGGCGGGGCCAAAAAGGGTCAAATTGACTGAAGTTTCAAAAATCTTCTTCTCAAGACCCAGATATGGTAGATTCAAATACTCTTCACAGATGGAAGGGTCTGAAGGTGCTTTACCAAAATTGTGACCCTTGGGTCTCACGTTTCGCCCTTGTATCTATATTTCCCCGTTAAATGGCAGTGATCTCTTACTTTGATGGAATCTCTCGCGAAATGCTTATTACAAATATGACATTTTTCGCAATTTTGAAAAAGACGCTCATCTTCCTCCGTCATTTTTAGTGGCTCGACATGCTTTAAAATGCTTTTGATAAGGTGCTGCTCTTCAATCAAATTGTCTAGGAATGTTTTACTAACATTTGGCCCCCGATAAACAACGGGTGATTTGGTGTACCTCTCATCCACACACACAACCTGATAACCAAAACCACAAGGTTCAAATTTAGAATTTGGAGTCGTACTAGACGTTTGAGGACTAGGCAGATAAGAATCCACCTTTTGTGTAAAAGTTTCAAAATCTGTATAGATTACAAACGGGACGCACATCTGTTTATTACAATCGCAAAATTCTAAAAATTGCTCACCTTCTGATGGGAGTTTCACATGTTGTTGATCGTATTCAGAACAATATTCGACATGTTTTTCAAGTAAATCCTTGCGCGTGAACCCTTGTAAGCAAAATTGGCAAAAATGTGTTGTACAATGATGAGATTTCGTTCTGCTAAGAAACATATCGAGATTTGTTATCAGACAATAATGTGTTTTTATACTTGTTGTAACAGTAATAAATTAACGTGATGTCGTGATTCTCTTACCTTTGTAACATACAATGGGAAAATTGTCTCATCCTCATATCCAAATACATTCACAGAAATATTATTATGTTTTTCAAACTTATTC